TTATCACTGGAGTTGAGAGGGCTTTTATAAAGTTTACAGGTGACACAAAACTGGAAGATTCCAGATGACTTAAAGGCAGTGGTGGCGAACCTATGGCACGGGTGCCAGAGGTGGCACTCGGAGCCCTCTCTGTGGGCACACATGCCGTTGCCCCAGCCTTGCCTCCGCCCGCGACCCCCTCCTCACCAGCAGCCTCCTTGGAGGAGAGTCACCCCTGAGCGTGGCCCATGCGGAGCAGCACAGCCAAGGACATGGCAGCCAGGCAGCGACTCTGCCCTCATGCCCCAACGCGCACAGTTGATGCTGCGGGGTGTGGGCAGAGGGCGTGGCCGCCATGGTGCTGCTGGGCTGCCTGGGCGATGTGCGGCGGGCCCTGGAGGCGGTGAGTGGCCCTCCGGGCAGGCAGGGTGGGGCGGGGCAGGGGGTGGGGCAGGGGTGGGGTCAGTTTTTGGGCACTCGGTCTCTAAAAGGTTCGCCATCACTGACTTAAAGGAAAAGGTAAAGATTTCCGCTGTCCAGTCGTGTCCGGCTCTAGGGGGCGGTGCTCATCTCTGTTTCTTAGCTGAGGGAGCCAGCGTTGTCCGAAAACCCTTCCGATGGTCATGTGTCCAGCATGACTATATGCCGAGGGGCACAGAAGGCTGTTATCTTTCCACCAAAGTGGTACCTATTTATCTGCTCACATCTGCATGCTTTCCAGTTGCTAAGTGGGCAGGAGCTGGGCAAGGAATGAGAGCTCATCCCGTTGTGCGGCACTCGGGTCTTGAACCTGGGCTGCCAGCTTTCCAGCTGACAAGCTCAGCGTTTGTAACCACTACGCCACCGCGCCCACCCCCCATATGGTCTACACAGGCCCAATCAGTGGCTTCAAATGAATAAAATAAAACCAAATTTAACAAGAAGAAACCTGAAGTTCTACGTGTGGGTAGGAAAAATGATTCTATTACGCGAGCCGTACTGGCTGCCAATATGCTCCTGGGTGTAAGTCAAGGTGTTGGTTATTACCTTTAAAGCCCTTTATGGCATGAGTCTAGGGCAGAGGTCCCCAACCTTTTGGGCACCAGGGACCGGTGCCATGGAGAAAGGTTTTTCCGTGGACCAGAGGGGGTGTGGTTTTGAATACTGCCTTGCATCCCGAGGATGGAGCTTTGCTTATTTGTGCGGCCCGCTTGCTGGCATACTGTGGACCGGTGCTGGTACATGGATCGGGAGTTGGGGACCCCTGGTCTAGGGTATCTACAGGACCGTCTTTCCCCAGTGGGATTGGCCCACCCCATTCATGCTGGAATCCGCCCCGTCTCTTTTAGCCTTCAGGAGGAACTTTAAAACCTGGTCGTGCCGGCTGACATGGGGTCCTGAAGGAGAAGCTGTTGGCTGGTGGTAGCTGGTGCACTAACAGAGAAGGCACACCCTCCCACCTCTTGTTTTAATTTTTGCAATTTTAATCTGTTTTCATATTTATACTTGCAGTTATATGTTGTTTTATCCTGATGTAAACCACTCAGAATCTCATGAACTGCGAGATGGGCGGCCAATAAATTTGATAATAAAATTAAAAATGTAAGGGCTAAATATAAAATGGGAGGACATCTGATTTGGCCATCGTACATGTAAAAAGGAATCTAGGTGTCCTTGTCAAGCACAGTTAAACGTACACCAGCAGGGTGATGCAATTGCTAAAAAGGCAAAGTCTACCTTAGGGAACATCTGCTGTATTGGGAGTTTCTAGTCATCCATCAGGCCTAACGTTTCCATTGCTTAGGTAGTCAAAATAGCACTATCCACACCCAAACCGGAAGGGCTTACCAGGATAAACCACCAAGGGTTTAGTAATCCAAAACATTTTAGAAATACAAACAGGACTGTGCATGTTTAGCAGCCCAAAAAGTTTGCTGACCATTATTTAAGCATGGACGAGAAAACCGAGGGGAGCGGAATGGAACAGAGTAAGGTTAGGTTAAGGTTAAGGTTAATTTAATTTGTATACCGCCCTTCTCCCATAGGAATCAGGGCGGTTCACAGCATATTAAAAACACAAATACAATATACAGGATACAAAAAAAATCATACAAAAATACACAAAATAACCCCACTAAAACCTAATTAAAAGCCAAATATTGATTGCTGTGTTCCCATTAAAATTACTTTTTAAAAACGTCCCTACCTAAAATCCTCCCTAGGTCAGGCCCGCTTGCTGGAAAAGCC